CACCCAAATCAGTAGAGGCTTTTTTTTTTTTTAATTAAAAAAAATCTTGTGTCCCTCTGAGCCTTTAACAAACCCTTTCTGAGTGTCCTCACTTTCCTTTTCTACTCTCCAGTCCACCGCCGCCTTTTAACTGGGACTCCAGTTGTGGGCCTCAGGGTCGGGGAGCCCAGGTCCTGTCCCCAAGGCCCCTGAGGGTGGGCCCAGTGGAGCCCTCCTCCTTGCTGGGCCGCGGCCTCGGGGCAGTCCAGGGGGCACAGGAGCAGCTGGTAGGGAGACCAGCCGGCGGTGCGGGTGGAGGCAGCAGAGGAGAGGGCGTAGACTCTGACCCGAGCCAGGCCCAGGCCGGTCTCCACGCCCTCCTGTGTCCAGGGCGACAATGCCTTTCTCTCAGATCGTTCTGAGCTTGTGGATTAACGTGATTAACGGGGTATTATGCAAGCAGGGTGCAGAGCTGAGAACGTTGCAGGGAAGCTCCAAACCGAGGACGAGGACGTGCGAGCGCTGACCCACCCCTTCCCCCAGGAGATGCCAGGGGGCCGCGGTCCCGGGCTCTGCAGGAAACAAGATCGGAGCTGGCAGAGGGTGGTGAGCCAGGGCCAGCCCTTGCTGACCAATCCTGAGGCCGCCTGCTGTCCCTAGAGGGGCCTGAGTGTCGGGGCGGGGAGCAGAGTCCCACCCAGGGTGGCTCTGGCTGGGGCTCCAGGCGTGCCCCTGCTGCCAGCTCCTATTTCCAGTTCCCTGGCAGCAAGGCGGGCAGCCAGGTTCTGCCAAGTCAGAGCCAGCGCTCCCAGTGCCCCAACCAGACAGGCTGCTGCCTTCCTCAGCCTGGACTGCCTGGACTGCCGCGGCAACGTGCTTACGGAGGGGAGGCTGCAGGTCCAGCCTCCTCTCACTGGACAGTCAGCAGGGTTCCCACCAGCCTGAAGCGCATCTTCGCATCTTCGGGTTGTGATGAAGTGGCCCGTGCCATGCTCCTTCCCATCTGCCCTCCCCTGGGGCCTCGTCCCCACCCTCGCCCTCTCACTGGGATGAGCCCCACTCCCGACCCCACCCTGGCTGAGCACAAACCAGAGTCGCTTCCAGCTCACACAGCCTCCCTTGCCGGCTCTCCTCCTTCAGCTCCTGCCTTTGAGAAGCCAAAGGTCCTGCTTCCACCATCTCCACCTCTCCATCAACCCTCTGCCTTCAGCCCCCACCATTCCACATGCCAACGACCTCTGTGTGTCCAGAGCTGCGTCCTGTCTAGCTGACCACGCTCTCCCCAGCCCTCTGAGCCTCCCCTCCTCCTCCTGTCCAGGCTCACAGTCTGTCGGGATTCTGGGGGTCACCAGTGATGCTCTCATGGGGCCCCAGCAAAGCCTACTTCATGCCTTCCAGGAGGGTTCGTGGGTAGAGGTGGAGCCTGGCTCAGAGGGGCGGCATGAGGTGAGAGGGGGGCCTCTGGAGGAGAGGGGACCACAGGGAGGCAGGAGGCAGCGGGGCCCAGCCCAGCCCCACTGGGGAGCCCTGCCCTCTTGCCTCCTCCTCCTCCCCGGGCTGCCTGCACAGTTGCTCTTGCCTGAGCGTCCATCCCCAGGACCGGCCAGCCTCATGTCGGCTCCCTTCTGAGCAGCAGGGAGGGCCTGGCCTGGAAGGCCTGCGGAATGCACCCCAGCTGAGTCTGCCTGCTTATCATGCTCTCCCTCGCTGGACAGACGGATCGTCCCGGCCTCACTCGCGGGGGCCCTGGGAGGCCTGCCCGACCTTCAGCGGCTATAAACAGCTCGGCCTGTCAGCACTGCCGGGCGCTGCTCTGCAGCCTGGAAATTCCAGGAATTGTCGGCGCAGCCGCCCCAGAATACCCCCCCCCCACCCTCTGTCCTCAGCGTGGACTCCCACCTTGGCTGGGAGAGTCTGATAACTCCAGAAAGGACGGCAGAGGCGCAGAGGCCTGGCCAGGTGGGAGGGCGAGGCCTGGGGAGGCCTTTCGGCAGAGGCAGGGGGCTGGGCGGGGGCCGGCCCCGC